ACTAGGAAGTGAGGTTGTAAGATTATTTATCCGCAAAGTTAAATTTGGCACTGCTTTTATAGTTCACGTAGGCGTCGGAACTGCTGACGTTTGTGCCGGAACTTCTAACAACATCGGGAGTTCCGACCCAAACGCCGGGAGTTCCGACATTGACTGACAAATTTGAACTTAGCATTTACAGTTAATATTTAGATATGCCTATTCACCCCCCCTCTAGGCATTGTTAGATCCTTTTAAGAGGTCTTATTTATCATCTCGTATTCTATGACTTTTAATCACAAAGCTTCAAGCTCATTGTATTTGTTTATATAGCAGCATTATATCCCATATGGTCATGTAGCTTGAAAATTCAATTTTCAATATTTCTGGCATTATACAATCATAATGTAGGATATCTTTAGAATTTCTCATTCAGTGAGTCCTATAAAACCTTCTGGATTTAGCTTGGTCACGTACTCATTATTTGACAGTAATATTAGGAGTAATGTTTAAGGTCCACTGCACTTCAGTGGCAGTAGAATATCCTACTAGGATTTAATAAATGACCATGCTACCCGTTCGCTTCGCTGAAAAAACAAGCCGAACCCTGTTCCGTGTGATTTGTTGTGAGAGAAAAACACTGTTTCGGCTGAAAAAATAAGCTGAAAAAGAAGGATTATAAGAGAAGCGAACAGGGCCATAATTCTGTCATTCAGGACAAGTCCAGGATATTCCTTCTTCATGAAGGTATGCATATGTTATTATTACCGGAATCATCATGTGCGTATGAGTTTACTACATGTAAACAAGTGGCAAAGTGTAAAAAGATAACAGATTGTTATACAAAAAATACTCTTAAAAGCATCCTAGCATTTTTTAGGATTATGGTATTTACAATTTTTTAGAATTAATACCCATTCATTCATCCCAAAAATTTATTGTACTAGAAAAAATAAATATGAGCCTCTCAAAGATGATAAGTCTAAGGTCTGCAGGATTTAGAGAATCCATATACCTTATACCATGTTTCTAGTGTAATCATTTAAGATTTTATTCTTGTAGTTACATGGTATATAGTTCATAATAATATTGCGCTAACATTTTTCAGAACTAAATTCAAAGTGTAGAATTTTTTTAGAATTAATGTACTATTTAATTCGAAAAAATAAATCTAGCCAAAACAACAATAATTAAACTACAGATTTAATGATGTATATACAAGTTCTTATATATGCGGGTATAAGATATATATAGTAAATATGCATAAACAGAGGGTCTAGAGTAAATTAATTAAAACCATAATTTCCAGAAAGCATAAGTGCAATTCTTCAAGAATAAACAATCGTCTGCATTGTTTCTACGGAAACATAGGCTTCTTCGCGAAAATTCAGCCTTTTCCTTTTTTCTACGGTTTTTTTTAGTCTGTCTACTGTACAACCATGTGTTTTATACAATTCTAACACATGAATTTTTTTGCACATAAGATTAAAATCCAACAGCCTCCATCCTTCTTCTATTTCTAGCCTTCTTCTACCTTCAGACAATCACAAGATCTACAAATCATAGATCACATATCACAAAAAATAATTTTTTTCTATGAAAGGACAAATTACAAGAGTGGTTGGTTCCATTGCTTGCCCGTTCGTCATGGATCGTCGCGTCGTGGGGCCTTGGCCGAGCGTGATTCGCATTCGCGTTCGCATCCTCTCTCTCCCTCTGGGCCTCACCTGACACATGACCACGTGCGTACCTGACACATGACCACGCCCGGGACACGGCTTGGCAGATCTGACGGACACAGACAAACCGAGGCAACGATCCGATGGACTAAAAATCCATATGTTTTTTTTTTTGCTAAAACACACGTGTGTTGTATAACATTTCTGTTTTTTTTACCATTGCTATAAGGCCAATTCCGCCACGTATTCTTCTCATCCCGTTAAAAACCTTCTTGGCCTTCTCCACTTCTTACGGTCCGATCCGATGTGGATTAGAGTTTTTTTTTCATAGTAAAACTCTAACTGCCCCTTATCTTACAGTAAACCGGTCCGTCACCACAGCTACATGCTTGCGCGTGAGCGACTACGGCATGTTTCCGAACTGCGAGGGTGGGGTCTAGATTGGCAGGCGGCCGACACATGACACTTGACAAGCCAGCTGCGAGTTGACTATGCGGTGCCATGATTGCCGTGATTAGCATGGTGGGCGGCCATCTACCGTCTACGACATACTGGCAGCGTGCCAGCAAAAAAAACGGGTGATTATACGAGGCACCGGTGGCGGTGGCATGCAAACCACAAGATCAATGGCCATGGCGAACAGAGAGCGTGAGGCACGGGCAGTGCACGGTTACAGCGCGTGCGTGCCGGCCGTGTGCGAGATTGGTGGCAACCGACGCAAGCCACCTGCAGGAGGGACTGACGGTGGCTGTCACGGCTGCAAGCCGGCGAGGGGCATCCTGTCCGCGAGCCGTGCATGGCATCCAGAGTCCGTGATTCATCTGGGGACGGCCATGGTGCCATGGCAGCATACCAGCCACATGGTCATGTGCGCTCATGCAGGAGTTTAGGTTCTGATCAACGTGATATCAAGTTTGCTGGCTACAGGACAGCCTTGATGCTCTTGTTTTTTTGTTAACAATTAACCCTAGAGGCAACTCACGTATGCACTGCATATACTAATTTTACGTACTACGTATACCGTAATTAGGAGCAAAGCAAAAGCCTATCTCGCTGGTCAGGACAAACGCAATCTACGAGATACGATTTCTTTTATACCTCATAGAGGGTACCAATTTGATCTACCTCACATGCCACATAGAGCAGTGATTACTAGATACATACTGCGTATGGCGTTTGGCACTATCGTAGAACTACCTACTTGACAGCGACGGTACATATCGATGCAGTGCAGAATCCTTGCAAGTGCAGGTTGCAGATCCGTTCCGCTAACAACATCGGGATGTCAACGTTGTCGAAGTAGTCGCAGCAAGGACATCGTCATGAACGTCGGCGTCGAAGATCGACAGCGGCTTCAACGGTGATGTCGACGTAGAACTTGTCGTGCTGATAACGTGTTATAAAACATGTTGCCAGCGGTTAGGACATTTCCCTCTCCGTCTCTCATGATCAACATAGTAGATAAAAATAGTAAAACAAGTAGACACAAAATAGGGAGACTGTTCTTTATTTATCTGAAAATTGGTGATTACAACATAGAGCTCCCACGTATATATAATTCTGTCAAGACATAAGAGTTTGATAAGATACCACATACAAATGGACTAGAATTAGGATTTTCTCCTTTACTTGTAGTATAGAGTTCGAATGTTTTACGACAGCAGACTCCAAACAGGGCCAGCGACAGCAACCGGTGCCTGTTCCAGAGGATCTTCACCTTACCTACTGCTGCCTATTTTGTTATTTATAACTTCCCCTATATCTCACGTGTCTGAAATTTTTTTGTTGCTTAGATAACATGCAATTTTATTACTATTATTTAGCTAAAAAAAGTTGTTCACTGTAGTTGTCCTTTTAATTGTATTAGTTGTCTTTTGCGAATTGTTGCCTGAAACTTACCAAAAATTCAGACAATATCGGCGTGCTGTGCAGTTCCGTCGCAAGTCCCGGTTTCGCTTGTGCAAGGATTCACATCATTGGCTTCTTCTATTCTACTACTGGGATTGGGAGAAGACATAGCTGCATGGGCTGGGCAGAGGGCAGGGCTCCTTCCTAGCTGGTCTGCACACTGCACTGCGTTCATTCATCAAGCACGGACAGCATTCACAACAGACGGATCTCTCAATCTGTCGTGATACACACTATCATCCCCACCAACTAGTACAGTACCACTTGCCAGGAGCCCAGGACGACGCTCTTGAGTTGAGGGAGAGCTAGCCACATTCTGGGACTTTTCCCTCGCGCTCTCTGTTTCTTTGCAGTGTTAGAATCCAAGTCTCCAAGATCATGGACATCACAAGTCTGACACTCTTACCCTGTGCAAGTGCAATGCAACGCACGTTTCATGACTCCTCTGCGTCTGCCATGGGCCTACCGCCTACCATGATATATTACCACGTGCCGATATGGTGATGTGCTTGGCCTTGTAGTTCCAAGTGAGGAGATATACTAGAAGAAACGGCTCTTCTCAAGTCTCAAGAAACAAAAGAACATCGGCATGCCAATTGCCACCACCACCTTTGCCCGGGGCTAAGAAAAAGGCACATTGGATTTGGCAAGAGAGAAAGGCATGGTTCTCATATTTCAGGAGCAACATCAAGAGAGAGACGAAACTAATTAAAGTTGGGTTCTATTCGCATTTCCGGATTCGCTCTATGCAATCATATATCCGGATAAAGGAATCCAAGAACCTATCAAGCAGCAGCAGCTGCGGCAGCAGTATCATCATCATCATGCGCTCAATCATCGTCAACCAATTATGCGCCAAAAATATCAGAGAGAGATGCTAGCAGCCAAGCACAATTGCCAGTTCATGTGACAGCTCTGCTACATGGAGATTGGAGATAAAAAGGAAAAGTTGAAGTTTCTAACCAAACCTTTTTAGAACAATGAAAATTGGTACGAAGTGGACCTCTCTGTACTTGACATATGATATGATTTGATCTTTTACAAAAATCATTTGTACACACTTTTTTCTTTTTCTCATTTATGCTATCATCGCTGGAAGTAAAGAACATCAAACAGCAGGAAGGAGAAAGAACCTTAATCGCAGCGAGGAGCTGGTTGAGGACGATCGTGGTGATGAATTGGTGATGGACACAACACCCAAAATTGGTTTGAAGAACATCAAGGGGGACCTTAACTGCAGCAGCAGGACGACGATGATGGAAAGAACACCACCGAAACTGGCCAGCCAATTCCCTTCACACAGCAAGCAGTTCCGTCCATCCAAGGATACACCTGACAGACATGGGAATGAATGCCAGATTGGAGTCCACACTGCCTGCAGCCAAGGCCGAACTGGGATGAGATCCATACTCTACTCCCAACCCGAAACGGTGGTCATGACGGGGGAGGAGCAGCGAGGGGCTGCGGCTGCGGGCCGGCGACAAAGGGGTGCTGCAGCAGCTGCGCGGCGGTGAGCCGCTTGGCCGGGTTCTTCTGCAGGCAGCAGCTAATGAATCCCCTGAACTCGGGCGAGGCGGTGGGCGGTGGCTCGGGCGGATCGGAGTAGCAGATAGCGACCATGAGCGCGGCCCAGTCCCCCTGCCTGCCGAGGTTCTCCCCGAAGGGGAACCTGCCCAGGTAGAACTCGAGAATGCTGAGGCCGAAGCTCCAGATGTCGCCGGCGTATCCGTCGTAGCTGCCGTCGTTGAGGTCGGTGTTGATCCGCTCGGGGCTCATGTATGCGATGGTGCCGACGGAGGAGTTGCAGGGGTCCATGGTCTGGTTGAGGATGCGCCCCACGCCGAAGTCGGCGATCTTGACGCGGCGCGCCGAGTCGATGAGGAGGTTGGAGGGCTTGATGTCGCGGTGCACGATGTGGCGGCGGTGGAGGTAGGCGATCCCGGACAGCACCTGGCGCGCGACGTCGGCGAGGAACGGCTCGGCGGCGATGCGGCGGCCGTCGAGGGAGCCCCCGTCCATGTACTCGAGCAGGATCTGCAGCTCCCCGCCGCGCTCGTACATGCCGTGGCACCGCACCACGGCCGGGTGCTCGGCGGTGCGGAGGATGGCGATCTCGCGCGCGATCTGCCGCCGCACCGCGTCGTCGTGGTTCCCGTACAGCACCTTGAGCGCGAAGGGGCGACCAGTCCCGCGGTGACGCACCATCCACACCGTCCCGCCGGCGCCGCTGCCGACGCGGCGCACGCGCTCCAGCTCCGCGAGCGGGGGCGGCTGCTGCTGCGCCGCCGCGGCGGCGGGAGCGGGGACGACGCCCGGCGGGGTGGGCCCCCCGGAGAAGGCGGGGACTGGCGGGAGAGGGAGCGGGACGGCGAGGGAGGTGGTGACCTCGCGCTGGGGCATGGGGAGGGTGAGATCCGGGCGGCGGCGCGCGCGGCCCGGCGTGCCGGGCTGCTGGGTCGGCAGGCCGCCCGGACGCATGGCGTGGGCGGGTTGGGGAGGAGTTCGTTAGGCGGGGGGTGGTGGTGATGGCGTCTGCGTGACTGCGTCTCGGTTCTTTCTTCTCCTCCCCGCTGCCGCTCGGGGTTTGTCGTGCGGCGCTGCGGTGCCCGTTTATTGGAGCACACAGCCTGATCGCTCATCGGGTTGGGGAAAGGGACGGGAGGGAGCCCGGACCCCGGAGGCGACTACAGTAATTGAGTTGCTGTTCCTCACGAGGCGACGACCTCGCCTGACGGCAACCCGAACGGAGATGCGAGGCGATGCCGGGCCCCCTAGTGCGAGCCTGGGTCGTTGAGTCTCGGTAAGGTTGTAGAAAGAGTCCCGAGCCTCTTGCACGAAGTGAGAGGACGATTAGGAGTTTCTCTGGCTATTTATGCGATCCTCGCACATCCTTTTCGATTGGAAGGAGGGGTGGAATATGTCAGGCTACCTTCGGTGGGCACGAGCGGTGACACCTCCGGTGAGCTGTTATCGGGTAAGTCCGAGTGGAGGCCCATGCCCCATTCGATAGGGGTCGGCTCACGGTCCAGGGACGCACTCCAAAAGTACCAGAGGGCTTCTCTAGTGGGTCCCGGGTCCGTTCGATTGGCCCCGGGGGCTCGGCGCCTCCCTACGGTGGGATCCCATTCGGAGATTTCCCTGCCGCTCTCGGACACGACTTAGGACATCTCGAGCGATCGCTTGCTCGGGCCTCGGCCATGTATGGGCTCGCCCATAGTTGTCCCTGACTCGATTCGTCCTAGGGCGGCTATCGAGACCTTTGGGGGCCCAGCCTTCAAACCCCTGGACCATAACGGGCTCGGCGCCTAGTTCCTTAGTCTGGAAGGAATCGGCTGGAGGAATATTCCCCTCCCATCAACTGACAACGGCAGGCGCACCTTTTGAGGTGGTTTGTCGGGGCTTGCTGTTGCTGCGGTTGGATGCGACGCAGTGTCAGCGGACAGGACATAACTGTGGCGATTAATGAGGAAAAGGTGGGCGCGTGGGCGGTGAAATCGGATCTAGATTAACTGTGCCTGGACTCGAGGGAAACTTCCTCAATTTCGTCGCCTGACCATTTCATCCTTTCCCTGCATAAATATAAAACGAGTCTCCTCCCTCCCCTCCTTACCTTGCCCGTATTTGCCTTTTCTACCTTCGAGCCATTGCCAAGAACAGAGAGCGCCAGGGAGAAGAAGGGAGAAGAGCGAGCGAGAGAGAGAGAGAGAGAGACTTACCATCGTAGCCCTCATTCTCCATCACGCAATGGCCGGCGGCCCTCCTGTCATCCTCCCGGTGGATCCTTGGGGTCCGTCCGATGTGTCCATGGAGACGCTGTAGTCTCTCGTCGACGACGGCCTTCTCCGCCCGATCACCGACCCCGATAGGCCGGAGTGGATTGCTCCGTTGGGCGAGCCGGAGCCGAGGCCACCCGCAGGGTACGTCGTGAGCTTCGTGTCCTTCCACGAGCGTGGTCTCGGCTTACCGGCGGACCGATTCATGCGAGCGCTCCCGCATTACTACGGCGTGAGCTGCATAACTTCAACCCCTAACTCCATCGCGCAGCGGCCATCTTTGTCGCCGTCTGCTCAGGGGTGGCTTGGGCATTGCCCTCCATTGGGAGTGTGGCTCCATCTCTTCGACCTTCTTCCGGCATATACCACCAAGCCGGCAGGCATGGCGGGTATGAGGAAGACGACGAGGGTGGCGGTCTGCACTCTCCAGTGCGCCAAAGCGGCAAAGACCTCTACATCCCGCCCAAATTCGTGTCATCCAATCACCATTGGTACGCTTTTTCTGGTTCTACCTCCAAGAACGATGAGAAGATGGGAGAGCCCCCCTATACTAGGCGAATCGTGGGAGGACTGTCCAGGAGAAGTGGGGTATATGGCGTCTGGGGAGGATCATCTCCCAAGCTGCGGCCGCCCTAGAGGGGCTAGAGAGGCTATGGGGGGCCGCCTTCACGGCGGCCGTGGTCGTGGCGGCCTTCCATCGCCGTGAGCATGCTGTTGCCGTGATGGCTCGGCAGCGCGCGCATTCGACATGAGACTGAATGAGCCGATCTAGGGCATCCAGATGTCTACCGCCGCCCTCTCTGACGAGGAAATTCTACGTCGGGTGAGGGAGACGGTGGATGGGAAGATGAAGAGCGGTGGTCTGACCCCCATCGTCATGCACCTGTCGTAGGGGTATCTCTCCCTGGTAAGTCACGCGCCGCTGCAGCCCCCAAGGCCTCCTCGTTCCTCACCATTTTCCCATTCGCCACTCCGAGGCGCTCACCGCTCCCCTCCTAGAGGGGATGAGAGACGTGGGGCGAGCCTCCTCGCCGCTTTGTTCCGAGGACGCGAGGCGAGCGGCGATGGCTCGGAATGAAGCGCACATGAGGCGCAGAAGAAGAAGAAGGACGCCGAGGAAAGGCAAAACGCACAAGGAAGATCTTGAGCGTGAGCAGTTGGACCAGCGCCACCGGCAGCAGAGGCGGGGCGGGGCGGTCTCTCGAAGAGCCTCCCGTCTCCGTCGCCGTCGTTGTCGGCGAACTCTTGAGTGAGATGACGATCTCCCCGATGTTAGGGGAACGGCCCGGGGTGTGTTGAGGCGGCGGCCCAGCGCCTCTAGGAGGACGAGAGAGGGGACGCCGGGGTCGCGTCGACGCCGGTCCAGGTCCGAGGCCAACACGCTGGCGCGGGCTTTAGAGGAAGCGCGTCACTGGTGGGCTCTGGCGGCGGTAGGCAGGAGCGGCGGCGATGGGGGTGCATGATGGGCGGCGCCCGCAGAGGGTCGAGGGGCGCCGAGTCCGACGAGGGTCAGCTGGCACCAGTGGATACCGGGGCCGTACCTCTGCCACCGCCACCGCCGTTGCAGAGGAGAGTCACGGTGCCGAAGCGGTTGCAACCCCCCTCGAGGTGAGTGTTTTTTCACCGACGTTCGTATCATCTCCTGCTCGCTTCATGGTCATATGCTGACCAAGTGGGTGTTTTGCCTCTAGTCGAAAGCGTCAGGTGGAGGTGCCAGCCTTGGCGCCGCGCAAGGCACTCAAGGTGAGCGCCAGCTCCACTGCTCAATAGGCGGCGGAGGCACAAGCCGCCGTGCAGCGTGGTGTGGCGTAGGCCGGGGCCGACCTGGAGGGGCCGGTCGCTCAGGAAGAGGCTCCCAGGGTAGCCACAGAGCAGACAGAGGAGGAAGGGCCTACGCCGCGCGTTGTCGAGGCCCACGAGTCCGATGGGGCCGGGGCGCCCCCGGTCGCCGAGGCCCCTGGGACTTCCGAGGCCGAGGTGGTGGAGGCGAGTGCGGCTGGCCCAGTGGCCCGGGATACGGAGACGAAGGTAGGGCAACCTTTGGTGCCACCCCGCCCAAGGCCTGCCGCCGTCGCTAGAGAGCGCCTGGGAAGTGGAGGTTCAGGCGACCCCTTCCGATGGCACTTCCTGGGAAAAAAGGGCCGGAAGATGCCGAGGTAGCCAGCACCATGGAGCAGCCAGCTCTGACCTCCAGCGAGGGAAGCGCGACTCTCGTGCGGGTGTAGCCTGAGTCCCGTGGGTGGGATCACCCACGTGTCTTGTGGCGGAGCAGGGACAACCCTGAAGGGGAGCCTCTGTTCGACCTCGAGGATGCGGCCGAGGGGGGGCGCTGGGGCACCTTCGAGCAGTATCGCCAGCTGGCAGTGCGGTCGCTGCGAATGGCGCTGTCCATCATGGATGTCGATCTGCTTGGCGTTACCTAGGTACGCGTCCTCTTTTCTCGTGCGGCGTCGTCTTGCTCTGAGTTTCTTGGCAATGCATGACCCCTATTCTGGCTATCCAGGAGCTCAAGGCCTGATCCCTTGGGAAGTCGTTATTCCTTCGTCGGGAGAGGGACGTCTAGGACCAGCTCGGGTAGCAGAAGGACCTGCTTGCCAATGCCAACAAGCTTCTATTAGCGTGGAGCGTGGAGGCGGAGGACCTCCGCCTTCGCTGTGCAGATATGAAGGCCGAGGTGGCCACGGCTTGGGAGCAGGTCGCCCCTTTGGCGGCACGAGTCAAGGAGCTGGAGGAGGAGCTGACCCGGGCAGCCGGCGAGCGGGACGCCCTCTTATCTCGGGCTAAAGATGCGATGGTCTCTGCCAAAGCCGTCGCTGCGTAGTTAAGTGAGGAGTGGGGCGCACATGCGCTGACAAAGGGCACCCTGGACGAGGCCCTTAAGGCGGCTGAGGCCTCTCAGGTCGAAGTCCAGCGCTGAAAAGAGAAAACCAAGGGTGAGTCCCGTAGGGCTTTGCCCCTATCTAGCCTATTTTTCTTTCACGCTTAACCATATTCTGCATATTCTAGCGCAGTGTTGGAGAAGGAGGCTTTCCGGGCGGCTGAGGCCTCAGTCATAGTGCAGGCGACACTCGAGGCCGAGATCAGGGAGCACGACATGTTGTAGGCCGCTGCTCGTGCTGTCTGCGAGGCCCTGGCTGTTGAGGGGGCTTAGTCAGGTAGCTCCCTCAGGAGCCGCCTGATTGCGTTGAGTGGCCAAGTGCTCGAGCGACTTCGGGGAGCACTGCACACGGGCGTCAAGCGTGCCCTGGCTGTCGTTGCCTCGCACTACTCCGGCGTCGACCTCAAGGCTATCAGCGATGGTTACGTCTTGCTTGAGGATGACGAAGAGGCTGATGAGGAGGTCACCAAGCTGAAGGAGGCGGCTGAGGTCCCTGGTACGGCGCTAGCCAGTCTGTTTGAAGAAGAGGTGGTTCCCCCCGCGCCAGCCACCGATGCTGGAGATCCTGAGCCTTGACCTGGGCCCAAGGGGCCATGTAAATAGATTAGGATGATTGTCGTAGCGTGACGTTCGTGGCCATCGAGGCCTTTATAAAGTACTCGTGCGTTCGCCTTTTTAATCATCTTTTATTATATTTCTGAGCCTCAGCTCTGTGTCCCGTTTCTAGACAAGTCTTTTACAAAAAACTTCCTCAGAGTCTCAGCTGCCCCTCTGGCGAAAGGTGGTGAGGGAGTTGCCGTAGCCTAGGGGCATAGGCGGTCTCATGG